GTGTGTGTGTGTGTGTGTGTGTGTGTCTGTGTCCGGTTGTGGGCCTGGGCCTGGGCACTGTCCCTCAGCTCTTCAGCTCAAGGCTAGCGCTCTACCACTTGAGCCACAGTGCCACTTCCGGCTTTTTTCTTTTTCTGCTGATGTGGTGCTGAGGAATCGAACCCAGGGCCTCATGCATGCAAGGCAAATGCTCTACCACTGAGCCACCTTCCCAGGCCAAGAGGTAGTTTTTATTTTTATTTTTTGTCGGTCGTGGGGCTTGAACTCTGGGCTTGAGCGCTGCCCTTGTGCTCTTCAGCTCAAGGCAAGCGCTCTACCTCTACCGCTTGAGCCACAGCACCACTTCCGGTTTTCTAGCAGTTTATTGGAGATAAGAGTCTCACGAACTTTCCTGCCCAGGCTGGCTTTGAACCTCGATCCTCAGATCTCAGCCTCCTGAGTAGCTAGGATTACAGGCGTGAGCCACCTGCGCCCGGCTAAGAGGTAGTTTTTAATGACTCTTTGATGACTATTGGTCTAAAGCCATGTATAGATAACACTTTTTTTTGGTCGGTCTGTGGGGCGTGAACTCTGGGCTTGGGCAGAACTCTGCACTCTTCAGTTCAAGGCGAGCGATCTACCGCTTGAGCCACAGAGCCACTTCCAGTTTTCTAGTGGTTTACTGGAGCTAAGAGTCTCATGGCCTTTGCCGCCCGGGCTAGCTTTGAACCATGATCCTCAGAGTAGCTAGGATTACAGGCCTGAGCCACCAGGGCCTGGCAAGATAACATTTTTTTTAACTAAGAATCTAAAATAATCACTATCTACAGAATTGTTTTCTACAATAAAGTAAGATAATCTGGCTTATTATCAAATATTTAGCAAAGCCTCTGTCTTACAAACTGGTGATATAATACCCTGACGATACATTTTATTTTACTAAAACAGTATTCTTAACTTGTGACCCTTAGACCACCTTTCTGTATTCATTCTCTACCACTATCCCTTCAATCCAGTCATTATGCCATGTTTCTTGAATGGTCCATAATTAAGGTCTATGCCTGGAATGCACTCTCTTTTGTAGATTTTCAGACTTCATTTAGAGCTCATAAATAGTAAGAAAATAAAATCTGCCATGTAGATTTTTCTGAACCAATTTTGGCAGATAGAAGATATGTGAATAAATGTCTGGAATAGTGATTCATGAATTTTTCTAGGGGAGTAATCTTAGTGCCCAGTAATAATGAATATTCATAACTGAACAAGACAATGCAAACAGTACTATTCAGCTTAAAAAAAAAAGCAGCAACATGTTCTTTTATAAGTGAAATAGACATAGATTTGAGTGACAAAGCAATTATTTTTAAGTGACTAAGTAGAAAAATAATCATTATTATTTTAAGTGAATAAGCATAAAAATGATTACCTCTTCTCATTAGCTTCCACTGTATCCCTGGATCTCTGTTTTGCAAATAACTTAGCCATTCTTTTAGCTTTGTTCTTTTGTCTGTTGCTCATTCCTGCTCGAAATTCTGAGTCAATCAATTCAGCTGCCTGGAGAGTCTAAAAAGTAAAATAATGCTGAGTTTTAATGGTTAGAAGCTAAAATGAACACCTATAGTCCCTAGCTCAGTAGAGAATATAAGAATATAAATTGTAGTATATACAGATTATATTCCTTTTTGACAGCCTCATGTCATTCTTTTATACAGCTGTTCTCTAACTTTATTCTCTTCCTCTTATTCCTTATTCATCTAAATCTTATCAAATATGCTTTGGTCTCAACTTTTTTATGACACAGATGTTAACACACATGAACGATTTTAACAGAGACAGGATTTTGACAAGATGAAATTAAAAATAACTACAATATAACCAAAAGTTATGAGGAAAAGAAGAATGTCAATAAAAGAAATTAATGAGTATTGGCTTACACCTGTAATGTTAGCTACTCAGGAGGCTGAGAGACCTAGAGGAACAGTAGTTTGAAGCCAGCCTGGGCAGATCAGTCTATGAAACTCCCTCTCCAACTTGTCAGCTGGGCTGGAGATGTAGATCACCAGCTGTGCACAAGAATGCTGAGCAACAGATAAGATCAAGAGTTCAAGCACAGGAAATGTGCCCCTGCCCCCAACATACACAAAAAGAAATTGATGACCAAAACATGCTGAGGAAAAATAGAAATTATAGCATTAAGCAATAGATTGGTCCAGCATCCTAGAGCCAACATGCTCCTTTTTCTGTTTGTTTTTGTTGGTCCTGGGGATTAAACTCTGGGCTTGGGCATTTTCCCTGAGTTCAGCTCAAGGCGAGTGCTCTCTCGCTCTCTATCACATGAGCCACCGCATCATTTCCAGTTTTCTAGCAGTTTACTGGAGATAGTGCTAGCTTCAGCTACAGAGAAGATTAACATGGCCCCTGCGCAAGGATGACACGAAAGTTTGTGAAGCAGTTTGCTGGAGATAAGAGTCTCACGAAGTTTCCTGCCCAGGCTGGCTTTGAACCGTGATCCACAGATCTCAGCCTCCTGAATAGCTAGGATTACAGGTGTGAGACTGGCCCAACATGCTCCTATACATGATCTACATCTTTGGCTCAATACTCTATTCATGGGAGACACTATAAAGACTGCATGAGCCAGGCACGCGTGGCTCAAACCTGTAATCCTAGCTACTCAGGAGACTGAGATCTGAGGGAGCCAGCCCAGGCAGGAAAGTTGTGAAATTCTTATCTCCAATAAACCACAAAAAACTGGAAGCCTTAAGCTGTAGAGCTGAGGGATAGTGCTCAGGCCCAGAGTTCAAGCCCCATGACCAACCAAAAGAAAAAAAAAGAAAGACTGCATGGTAGGCTACATGTTGTATGATGCAAATCTATAGCTCCAGCATCTTGCAAGGCTGAAAAGGAAGATCACTTGCATCCAGGAGGTTGACTATAAATATTACCACCAGAATCCTGTCTCAGCAAGGCATGGTGGCTCCTAATTGTAATCTCGCTACTCAGAAGGCTGAGAATGGGAAGGCTGTGGTTGGAGGCCAGCCTGGGCAAAAATTAAGAGAGAACCCATCTCAAGACATAAAGAAGGGTACAGTGGTGCAAACCTATCTTTCCAGCTACATGGAAGAATAAGCAGAGTAACAAAGTCCAGGCTGTCCTAGGACAAATCACAAGATGCTATCTGAAAGATACAAAAGCAAAAGGGCTTGGGTGTGGCTCCAGTGGCAGAGTGACTGCCTAGCAAGCACAGGACCTGAGCTTAATCTCCCCTCCCCCCAAAAAATCTTGCCTCAAAAACTAAAGACTACAAGATTTGAAATTATTTAAGCCCAAAGCAAAAAATACTTCTAGTTCCTAATCCCAAGACTCAACTAGATTTGCTGCAGTCATGGTCCAGGAACCACCACTATGTATGTACACATGTGTGTATACACACACACATACATAAATACCTACATAAATATATACACATAGTCTGGGACATTTAAGGCTACAAAACTTGATATGGAAAACTCCAAACTAGCACTGTACACTCCACAATAAACTATTGTTTATACCTTATTTTTTCTAATATGCCTACACATTCATACTCTTGCACTATGCTCAATATCTACTTTAGATTACTGCATTTCTAGTCTCTTTTATTTTATTCTATTTTTCCCTTATCTTTTCTTTCTAGCTTATGTTTCTCATTCTGCCCAAATTCCTTCCATTCCTTTTTAGTTTTCATTCTAATTCTGACTATATATTCCCTCCTTTTTCCTCTGATATCTGCCATTTTTCTCTTTTCTGTTAAACATATTCATAGCTGGGTGCTAGTGGTTCACCCCTGTAATCCTAGGTACTCAGGAGGCTGAGATCTGAGGATTGTGGTTCCAGCCCAGGCAGCAAAGTCCCTGAGACTCTTCTCTCCAATTAACCACCAGAAAACTGGAAGAAGAGCTGTGGCCCAAAGTGTTAAGAGTGCTAGCCTTGAGTGAAAGAACTCAGAAACAGTGCCCAGACCCTGAGTTCAAGACCCTAACTGACCAAAAAAACAAAAACAAAACTTATTATCACACATCCTTAAGAAACATACTACACAAATTCTAATGGTTCAGAAGAAAACTAGTATAAAGGCCAATATAATCATTTTCCACTGAATCAAAAGAAAAAGACAAGGAAATAACAAGACAGGCAGGGACTTTTTAAAAATTAATTTTATTTTAGTTGGTCATGGGGCCTGAACTCTGGGCCTGGGTGCTGTCCCTCAGCTCTTTAGTTCAAGGTTAGTGCTTTACCATTTGAGCCACAGCACTACTTCCAACTTTTTCTGCTTATGTGGTGTTGAGGTATGGAACCCAGGGCCTCATGCATGCAAGGCAAGCACTCTACTACTAAGCCGCCTTCGGAGGCCAGCACGAACTTTTTAAAAATAGAATTTTATTATTATTAAGGTGTTATCAGGTAATGAGTGTGTTTCTTTTTTGGAAAATGTCACCTATTTCTTTGCTTTCCTCTAGTTTCCCCTCCCATCTCTGCCGGTAAGTTACATAGTTCATTTTCCACATAAAGTATACTGAATACCAGGATTGCATTGGTTTACCGCCTTCCTTTTCAAAGCAGGGATTCTTAACAAAGCCCTAAAAGGATATTAGGGGTGGGTAGTGGAGGGGAAAGAGAATAATTGCATATGAAGAGAGAATTAGAGCTGAAAAAAGAAAAATCTGGGATAAGATTGTTACTTTCGCAGTAACATATAAACAGAAAAAAGCCAGAAGTGGTGTTGTGGCTCAAAAGGTAGAGTGCTAGCCTTGAGCAAAAGAAACCCAGGGACAATGCCCAGGCTGAGAGTTCAAGCTCCAGTACTGGGGGGGGGAAATCTGTGGCACACAAAAGTTGAACACATCCAAGCTAAGATCTAAGATTGCGGTTCAAAGCCAGCCCGGGCAGAAAAGTCTGTAAGTCTCTTATCTCCAATAAACCACCAGAAACCAGAAGTGGTGCTGTAGCTCAAGTGGTAGAGCTCTAGCCTTGAGCTGAAGAGCTGAGGGACAGCGCCCAGGCCCAGAGTTCAAACCCTATGACAGACCAAAAAAAGAAAGAAACATATCCACTAGGAAATGAAACAATAAAGAAAAAGCGAAAGTAAAATCCTGAAACAGACACAAAATGAAACAGAATAAAGCTTTTAAAAAAAGAAAGTGGTGCCGGGCACCAGTGGCTCACGCTTGTAATCCTAGCTACTCAGGAGGCTGAGATCTAAGGATCACAATTCAAAGCCAGCCCAGGCAGGAAAGTCTGTGAGACTCTTATCTCCAATAAACCACTAGAAAACGAGAAGTGGCACTGTGGCTCAACCATTTGCCTTGAGCTTTGCCTTGAGCTGAAGAGCGCAGAGACAGCACCCAAGCTGAGTTCAAGCCCCATTATCGACAAATAAAAAAAAAGAAGAATATGGTTAAGCAAGGCATGAGTAGTGCACACCTGTAATCCTAACACTAGTGAGGCAGAAACAGGAGGATCATGAGATTATCTTGGGTACATAAAGGAGGGAGGAAAAATGGGAGAGGATGTAACTATAAATACTCTGTATAGGTCAACATGGCATGAAGGGAATCATAAAGTTGCGCTTCTATAAAAAAACTTCAGGATGAAAACATTTAGAAGAGTTGCTTATGGTTATGAAAAATTTGTGCCCCTCCATAAATTACCAAGGAATTTTCTTTCTCATAATACTTTTTACTATTATTTTCATGATTTGGAAAAGTATTTTTTGAACATTTTTCTTAATTAGAAGATTAAATCATAGATCTAAAGACTCCCACTATTATATCTGACTATGATAGCTCCTACTTTTATTCTTCTAAAAAATTACTTTTATCTTCAATAAATTTAATTAATTAATTAACAAGCAAGCAAGCAAGTCAAGCAATTAGTGTCATCAGTGGCTCCTTAAAGGTTTACTCTAGCTTTTATCTAACAATCTGTTATCTAGGAATTAGACTGAATTTGTTTGTCCCAAAATCTGTAAGTATAGTAAATTACAGTGCCACTAAACAACAATGAGTAGTTTATTTTAGCATTAAAAAAAAAAAAGCCAGGAACCTAAGGCTCAAGCCTGTAATCCCAGATGAACTCAAGTGGCCAGATCTGAGGATAGAGGTTTGGGCAGGGAAGTCTTGAGCCTCTTATCTCAATTAAGCACCAAAACAAACAATAACAACAACAACAAAACAAACCAGAAGTAGAACTTGACTGAACTCGCCTTGAAGAACAACAAAAGGGACAGTGCTCTCAAGCCCAGAGTTTAAGACCTAGAACTGGCACCAAAAAAAGAAAGAAAAAAAAAGAGCTGACAATATTGGCTTATACCAGTAATCCTTACTACTAAGGAAGCTGAGATTTAAAGACTGTGGTTCAAAGCCACTCTGGGCAGAAAAGTTAATGAGACTCTGATCTCCAATTAACTGCCCAAAAGCCAGAAATGGAGCTGTGGCTCAAGCGGTAGAGCATCAGCCTTGAGCACAAAAGTTCAAAGACAGCTCCTAGGTCCTGAGTTCAACCTCCAGAACATGTACTAATATAAAAAAAGTTACCACATAAACAAAACTAAACCCTTTGTACAATCTAATAACCAAATGTTTTACCTACAGGTTGTTTGTTTACAAGGGCTGCTGAAGTTGGGGTATAATCCAAATCTTCATCATTAAAGAGCTCTTCAGTACTCATTCCAATGGCTTCTCCCATATTGAGACCAAGTTTCTTCTGTAATAGTTTTCGTTGACGTGCTATCCTTTCTTTATGATCCACTTCACCTTTAAACAGAAAAGAAACATATTGCTTCCAAATCAATTAAGAAATTTTCTCCATTAAAATAAAAAATTTAAAAACTAAGTCAACACCAATGGCTCACACCTATAATTCTAGCTACTCAGGAGACTGAGATCTCAGAATTGCAGTTGGGAGCCATTCAAAGCAGAAAAATTGTGAGACTCTCATCTCCAATTAATCAATAAAAAGCTGAAGTGGAGCTGTGGTTCAAATGGTAAAGTAACAGCCCTGAGCTAACAGAACTAGGTGCTGGTAGCTCTCATCTGTAATCCTAGCTATCCAGGAGGCTGAAATCTGAGAATCACAGTTAGAAGCCAGCCTCCTCAGAAAAGTTCCCAGGAGACTCATCTCTAACTAAACCACTCAGAAAAAGCTGTAGGCATAGCTTGAGGTGCTGTGCCTCAAGTGATAATAGGAATAGCCTTGAGCACAAAGAGGCTCAGGGACAGCGCCTAGGCCCTGACTTCCAGTCCCAGGACTGACATTAAATAGTATACCAAGTGATATAAGCACAAATTTCAGACTTTTCTCTACAAGATTACTACATACCTGATTTTTCATCTTGGACTTCAAATTCTGCACCAGCAGATCCCAAAAGCGATGCACCATGTTGTAACAATCTACATATATCAAATCTGTCAAAATTTAACCGATCTGTAGTAGATGAATCTTCCATAGAACTTTCTGAAGTAGATTCTAGAAGTTAATTTTAAAATATTAATTTGACCATGTAAAGTGTAGAATGAAAGAAAATAACATCAATACTTGTGTATAAGGGTTAATATCTTAAGAAAAAACAACAAAAATAGAAAATCTATTATTTATGATCAATTCTTAGTTATCTATGAACTATAAAATTGAAACATTCCCTTTAGAGCATCAGAATGTTAAGTGGGTTTATGTATATAACTGTTTCCAACTATGAAAACATAATGCTGCATGAAGAAATGCTATCCTTATGTTGAAATGTATATTAAATACCAGGCTGTCGCCATTTATTAGCACCATGAGTTTTCCATGGTGCTCAAGTGAGAGACAAGAATATACACAGAAAAGCCAGGTGCCAGTGGCTCACGCCTGTAACCCTAGCTACTCAGGAAACTGAGATCTGAGGATGGAGGTTCAAAGCCAGCTGGGGCAGGAAAGTCCAATTAACCACCAGGAAACAGGAAGTGGTGCTGTGGCTCAAAGTGGTAGAGCACTAGCCTTGTGCTGAAGAACTGAGGGACAGCACCCAGGCCCAGAGTTTAAATGCCATGACCAACAAAAAAAGAAAGAAAAAAGAATATACATAGAAAGTATTCATGAGGAGCTGGGAAGGTGGCTCAGTGGTAGAGCGCTTGCCTTGCATGCATGAGGCCCTGGGTTCAATTCCTCAGCACCACATAAGTAAAACAAAAACCGGAAGTGGCGCTGTGGCTCAAGTGGTAGAGCACTAGCCTTGAGCTGAAGAGCTGAGGGACAGCACCCAGGTCCAGAGTTCAGGCCCCACAACCAGACCCAAAAAAAAAAAAAAGTATTCATGAATATGTAATATGCATAAGAAATACTCATGAATAATAAGCATCATCCCTATCTATATGAGTATCTTGGATACAAAACAACTTCCCCTTTATCTCAGCACCTGTGATCATGCCTGTGTTCCTAGATATTTATGAGGTTTAGAGCTGAGGATTACTATTTGAAGTCAGATCCAGCAGGAAAGTCCATGAGACTCTCATCTCTAATTAACAATCAAAAAGCCAGAAGTGGAGCTGTGGCGTAAGTAGTAGAACAGTAGCCGTAGCATAAAAAAGCTCAGGAAAACACCCAGGCCATAATTTTTTTTTTGGGGGGGGGTCCGGTCATGGGGCCTGAACTCTGGGCCTGAGCGCTGTCCCTCAGCTCTTCGGTTCAGGGTAGCGCTCTACCACTTGAGCCACAGTGCCACTTCCAGCTTTTTTTGTTTTTGCTTATGTGGTGCTGAGTAATTGAACCCAGGGCCTCAGGCATGCAAGGCAAGCGCTCTACCACTGAGCCAAACCTTCCCAGCCCCCCAGGCCATAATTTTTAGCCCTAGCACCAGCACCAAAAACTAACAAAAAAGAACTACCCATTAACATGATTCAATTCCCATACTTAAAGCAAATTATATATTCCCTTGAAGCCTGAAAATATAGGCTATGCATGTTAAAATACAATGTAATTTTTCACTAAGGTAATAGTTTATTTAGCTAGTATTTGCATGTAATTAATCTGCAAACTAGGTATAACCCTAAATTTAAGATTAAGGGAACTCATGAATATTTCACATTTTCCAGCAACCTTACTATAAATTTCAATGCTCATGTAAGAAGTCATTTAGTAAGAATCTGAGTAATAGAATAAATGCTAAAATAAGTAGGGATATTGAGCCAGAAAAGGTTCTCTTCTAAAACAAGTGTAATCCCTCTTGGCTATACATTTCATCTGACAAGAAAAGACATAACACAGTAACTCAAAATATTAAGTGGCAACAAGAAGAGCCAAAACTTGAAGCAAGCTAAAGCCTATGGTAATTAAAAATTAATGTGGCTGGGCACTGGTGGGTCATGCCTGTCATACCTATAATCCTAGGTACTCAGGAGGCTGAGATCTGAGGATGGAGGTTGGAAGCCAACCCAGGCAAGTCTGTGAGCTTCTTATCTTCAATTAACTACTAAAAGAGCTAGAAATTGAGCTGTGGCTCAAAGTGGTAGAGCACTAGCCTTGAGCACAAAAGCTCAGGGGCAGTGCCCAGGCCAAGTACAAGCCCCAGAACTGGCAAAAACAAAACAAAACACCAGAATCTGGTTGCACTATATTAAATTTCCACTTAGGGAACACTTATTTTATGTTATGAAATAAAGTACTCCCCAATTCTAGAATCTAAAATACAGCTAATTAAGATCTTTAGTTGGGCATGATGGATCATGCCTGTTAATTCCAGCTACTTAGAAAGTAAAGAGAAAATATTGTACTTCAGTTCAAGGCCAATATGAACAAAAAGTTAGGGTGACCCTGCAACCCTATCTCAAAGAACAAGCCATGAGTAGTGTTCCATGCCTGTTATCTAGCTAATTAGGAGGCATAGGTAAAGGATGAAAGTCAGAAGCTGGTCTAGGTAAAAAGTAAAACTCTGTATGAAAAGGAATTAAAGCTAAAAGATCTAGAGGCATGAGTATTTGCCTAACAAGCATAAAGCCCTAAGTTCAAACCACAGTACAGTTCTGTTTTTGGTTTTTTTTGGTGTTGTTTTTTTTTTGGGGGGGGGCCTTTACTGGAAGGGGGTATCTGGAGTGAACCCAGGGCCTGGGCACTGTGTCTGACTTCTCTGCTCAAGGCTAGCACTCTACCACTTGAGCCAGTTTCACTTCTAGTTTTCTGATGGTTAATTAGAGATAAGATCCTCACGGACTTTACTGCCATGGCTGGCTTGGAACCACAATCCTCAGATCTCAGCCTCCTGAGTAGCTAGGATTACAGGAGTGAGCTACTGGCAACTGGCTAAAGAATTTTTTAAAGAATACACATTAACAGCATTTTGTTCATCATTAAGAAGTATTTTTTAAGACTAGTGGTTAAAATTATCTTATACATTATTGCTAACAAGTTTATACTAAAAGCATGAAAATTAAGCATTTAAATAGGAATTATCAAAATATAGTTAAATATTACTAAAAAATACTTAAATATAATTATTGTTAATCCTATGATTCAACTGAATAGGATTTTACTTCAAACTACTTTTTCTACTTAAAAGCACCTTGTTTGGTTCTTGGCACTGGATTCCATTCAGGCACATTTTTCACTATAGCTTCAACAGCTTGTCCTGCAGCAATCCGAGTATCCCAATTTGCACTTCTCAAATAAATCAATACCTTAAAATAATTAGAAAATAAAATTATATATATGAAAAGTTTGCTAAAGGAAGCCAAAACAGGAAAATGTAAATTTATCTAATAGTTTATAATTTGGCAACCCACCAAATACATATAAAATACCTTAGCATTTATAAAATGCATTTATAAAATTTGATTATCTAATGGAAATATCTACCATCTTAACCATAAGAAACTTCTAACAAAAGAATATTTAAGTGCATTTTTACAATAATAGCTATTTTTATACTGAGTCAACAAAACTATTTTAATATGCTAAAAGTACATATTTAATTAATTATACCCATTACTTTATGCAGTGTTACAAAACAAAAAAAACTAAAACACCCCAATCTTTAAAACCTACGAAAAGTAGTAAAACAATTTAGCAAGGTTATATGGCATGAAAGTAATATACAAATTATTTCTATTTATTAAATGAAGTTAAGAATACAATTCTACCTGGGTACTGGTGACTAATGCCTATAATCCTAGCTACTCAGGTGGCTGAGATCTGAGGACCATAGCTCAAAGCCAGCCAGGGCAGGAAAGTCCGTGAGACTCTAGTCTTCAGTTAACCACCAGAAAACGAGAAGTAGAACTGTGGCTCAAAGTGATAGAATGATACCCTTAAGCAGAAAAGCTCATGCCCTGAGTCCAAAAGTCCTATAACCATCACCTCCCAAAAAAAGTATAGAGAGAATCCTATCTGCAAAATCATAAAGTAAAAATATTTTAGAACAAACTTAACAACACTGCTGAGCCGAGAGCATGCCTACAATCTTAACTATTCAGGAGGCTGAGAGAGATGAGGATCATATATGGTTCAAAACTAGTCCAGGCAACAAAGTCTTTGAGACCCTTATCTTCAATTAACCACCAAAAAAGACAGAAGTGGAGCTCTGTCCAGTGATAAATCATGGTAGCCTTGACCAAAAAAAACTCAGGGATAGCACCTAGACTGAGTTCAAGCCCCAAGACCAGCACAAAACTACCTGTTGAAAGCCAGGTGCCAGTGGTGCACTCCTGCAATCCTAGCTATTCAGTTAAGTCCATGAGACTCTTTTCTCCAATGAACCACAAAAAAAGATAGAAGTAGGACCATGTCTCTAGTGGTAGAACAGCAGCCTTGAGTGAAAAAGCTAAGGGAAGTGTCCAGGCCCTTGGTTCAAGACCTAGTGCTAGCACACACAAAAAAGAAACATTGTAAACACACTAAATTTTAACTTACTACATGCAAAAGAAATCAAGACAGTGTGGTACTGGTAGACTGACAAAACATAGATCCAGAAGGACAGAGTTGAAAGTCCAGAAGTAATCTTCAAAAAAGTTTTACAATCACATGGTTAACAAAGATGTTAGGACAAACTCAGTGAGAAAATAATATTATTTCAACAAATGGGGCTAGGAAAACTAGACAGCCATGTATGTAGAAAAGAATGTTGACACCTACTTCACATCAAAATTAACTAAAAAGATGCACCAGAGATCTAAAACTAAAACTATGAAACTCTTAGGAAGAAAAAAAAATAAGAACAAATCTTTTTGTCCTTAGGTCAGGCAGTAATTTCTTAGTTATGACACAGGAAGCACAAATAATTTTTAAGTGATTATGACTTATTATTATGTGCTTCATAAGATACTGTTGTGGTATGAAAATTAAGGATATATTTGATTTAGGTACTTAGGCCATGTAGAAATTAGAATTCTCTGCTTATCAATAATGGATGATTTTGTAACTTTGTTTTTATGGTTATAAAATTGACTGTACTCCGCTTCTGCTACTAACTAAATGTGTCACTCCCATCTTTTGTTCTACTCCCCAAGCTTCTGGTCCAGTCCCTAAGCAGAAATTATAAACCCGTCTGGAGTGACCATTGGCCAAAATGGACAAAGAGCCCAACTGCGCAGGCTTAAGTTCTTTCCCTCATGTCCTTCCAGTCAAGAAAGCTTAAAAGCTGATGCAGGCTGGCACTCAAAGCTGTGCCCTAAGATCACGACCTTGGGCACGGTCCTGATGCGTCAGTGCTTTGTTTTTTCGCTAAATAAGATTTTGTTTAAACCACACTCCTGAGTGATTTTTTGGTGCTACTATCTATTGATTCCTGGATAATACAAAAACACCTTTAAAAAAAATGAAAGAAGCCAGACACCAGTGGCTCACGCCTGCAATCCTAGCTACTGAGGAGGCTGAGATCTGAGGATTGCAATTCAAAGCCAGCCCTGGCGGGAAAGTCCATGAGACTCCTATCTCCAATTTACTACCTGAAAACTGGAAGTAGCACTGTGGCTCAAGTGGTAAAGTACGTGCCTCAAGCTGAAGAGCTCAGGGACAGCACCCAAGCCCAGAGTTCAACGCCCTCCCCATACCCAAAAAAAGAAAGATTACCCATAGAAAAAGAAAAAGTGCAATGTCATATACTGAGTAAGAGGTTGTATAAAGAATATATATATAAAGTTTTAGCTAGCCAGGCTAGGCAAATCTGTAATCCTAGCTACTTTGGAGGCATGCAGGAAGAACATGAATTCAAGGCCAGCTTGGGCAAAGTCAAGAACACCCTGTACAAAAATACAAACCAAGCAATGGTGGTTCACTTCTGTAATCCTAGCTATTTATAAGGAACACAGTTTGAGGCCAGCCAGGACATAAATTTGAGGCCCCATCCCAATCAATCGCTGAATGAGAGGTGATACTTGCCTGTCATCCTCACTACCTGAGAAGCATAAATAGAGACATCATGATCCAGGCTGGCCTGGGCACACAGGAGACCTTATAGAAAAAATAATAAAGCAGAAAAGCCTAAGGGTACAGCTCAATTGGTAGAGCACTTGCCTAGCAAGCTATAGGCCCTAAACTCAACCCTCAGTGACACACAAAAAAACAAGAGCTAACAGCATGAATCAAGTGGTTGTTTCAACAACAAAAAAAAAACCCAAGCTTCTTACATACTTCATTAGAAAAAGGCAAGTAAATAAGCCAACCTAAAAATGAGCCAGTCAGGCACTGGTGGCTCATACTTGTAATCCTAGCTATTCAGGAAGCTGAAATCTGAGGAGCATGGTTCAAAGCCAGCCTGGGCAGGAACATCTGTGAAACTCATATCTCCAATCAACCACACACACACAAAAAAAAAAGTGGCGCTGTGGCTCAAGTGGTAGACCACTAGCCTTGAGCTGAAGAGCTGAGGGACAGCACCCAGGCCCAGAGTTCAAGCTCCACAACGGATAATCAAAAAAAGCCAGCCAGGCACTGGTGGCTCATGCCTGTAATCCTAGCTACTCAGAAGACTGAAACCTGAGGATCACAGTTCAAAGCTAGCCAGGGGGGGAGGGGGGGGAAAGGGGAGTGGTAAAGAAGGTGGCTCAGTGGTAGAGTGCTTGCCTTGCATACGTGAGGCCCTGGGTTCGATTTCTCAGCACCACATAAGCAGAAAAAGCCAGAAGTGGCAGTATGGCTCAAGTGGTAGAGCTCTAGCCTTGAGCTGAAGAGCTGAGGGACAGCGCCCAGGCCCAGAGTTCAGGCCCCACAACTGACCAAAAAAAAAAAGAAAGCTAGCCTGGGCAGGAAAGTCTGTTAGTCTCTCATCAACAATTAACCACCATTAACAACAATTAACTGGAAGTGGAACTGTGGCTCAAAAGTATTAGAGCATTAGCCTTGAGTGAAAAAGGACAGCGCCTAGGCCCTGAGTTCAAGCCCCACAACCAAAAAAATAAAAATGGATTTTTCTTCTTTTAATAGGCATAACATATTATCATTTCAAGTTGTCAAAGACAGTCTTTAAGTATCAAAGACGTTAATATCCATTTACAGTTTGTTTTCTTTTGTCTTAGTTTTACTATCAACAATCCATTCATACCTGGGTGTCAGTGACCCTTACCTGTAATCCTAGCTACTGAACAGGCTAGATTTGATCTATTATGGGATTTGAACTCAGAGCCTACCCATATCTGTTTGGGTTTTTTTTTTTTTTAACTTACCTGGCACTCTACCACAAAAGACACATCTCTAGTCAGGCCTTTTGCTGGTTATTTTGGAGTTTAAGTCTCAATGACTTTTCTGCCTTGGCTGATTTTGAATCATGATCTTCCAGATCTCAGTCTCCTGAGTAGCTAAGCTAGGTGTTGAGTCACTCAGCTTGCAACATGTTTTTAATAGATAAAAGTAGAAACAACATAAATGTCTATCAACCAATGAAGGAACTAGAAGCAGTATACTATATATGTATTATAGGAGCACATTAGTGTGAAATATATTTGGCAATAAAAAGAAATGACGTGACTGATGACATTATCACCACATTATAGTATTTTAAGTAAAAGAAATCAATTGTGAGAAATCATATATGATTCATTTTATATAACATTTTCAGAATGGGAAAATCTACATACAAGTTAGTTTAATAGCTGTCCATAATTGGGTATGAGAGGGAGTAACTGCTAATAGATACGAGGTTTCTTCCTATAATGAAATGTTTTAAAAATTAAGATTGTGGCCCAGTGCCAATGGCTCATGCCAGTAATTCTAGCTACTAAGGAAGCCGAAATCTGAGGATATTGGTTAAAGGCCAGACTGAGCAGAAAAATCCATGAGACTCTTATCTCCAATTAATCACAAAAAAAAGCCAAAAGTGAGATGTGGCTCAAATAGTAGAGTGCCAACCTTGAATAAAAAAGAGAAAAGAAAGTATCCAGAAACTGACTTCAAGCTCCAGAACTAGAACAAAAGAAGGGAAAAAAAAGATTGGGGTCATAGCTGTTGCACACAATGACCAAGTACCACTGAATTGTACATCTGTGGTATGTAAATTACATTTCATAAACCTGTTTAAACACAAAACTAAAGGACAAAAGGAAAATACTGAGAAAAGAGAAAGGGAGGGGCTGGGAAGGTGGCTCAGTGATAGAGTGTTTGCCTTGCATGCATGAGGCCCTGGGTTTGATTCCTCAGCACCACATAAACAGAAAGTCAGAAGTGGCCCTCTGGCTCAAAGTGGTAGAGCGCTAGCCTTGAGCTGAAGAGCTAAGGGACAGCACCCGAGCCCACACTTCAGGCCCCAGAACAGACCAAAAAAAAAAAAAAGAAAGAAAGAAAAAAGAAAAAGGGAAGCAAAAGGATCTCAGCTGAAACTTTTTTTTTTTTTTCCGGTTGTGAACTCTGGGACTGGGTACTGTCCCTAAACTCTTCAGCTCAAGGCAAGCACTCTACCACTTGAGCCACAGTACTACTTCCGGTTTTCTGGTGGTTAATTGGAGATAAGAGTCTCACACTTTCCTGCCCAGGCTGGCTTTGAACCATGATCCTCAGATCTCAGCCTCTTGAGTAGCCACCAGTGCTTGGCTAGCAGAAACTTTCTTTTGGAATTATTTGATATCAATCAACACACTGAATTCTAGCCTTGAAAAGCTAGAAATTTTTTCTCAGTTCCTCACAGACTTAATCTTACTTATGATTTCCAGTTTCAAGTTTCTCAGTCCTGCATTCCTTCCCTTGGGAGAGGGCTATGCCTCTTCCTCCTCACCTTACACACTGAACATAATGTATAACAAAACCACCTTTTTGCATCTAGAAGGTAGAGCTTGTAAAGGTATCAAATCAGTCTTGTAGGTTGCATCTTGGTTAGAAAGCTAGAAAGGGGAATCTGTTGGAAAGTCACTATTAAGACCTTATGGTACTAAGCATATAGTTGAGATTTTTGTATGTTGGAAAAAAACCCTCTGGAATTCCTACTCCAACACATCAGGAAGGACAAATGAAAATGAAAGGAGGGTTAAGACTAAATGAGATAGGCATCTTGAGGCTTCCAGTGCTTGGGCAAAGATACTGATCATCCATCTTATCCTTTGTCTGCCTTCTACCACACTTTTCCTTATACCAAAGTACTCTTGCTGTATTTTGCATGGAATTTACAAATTATTGGTATATAGATATACAAGCCCACCAGAGTTGGAAAAATACTACCTTTATATATAGAACATGGACTAGGACTATGAAAACAACCTACCAATGAGAAAGCTTCTACTTCAATATCAAGATATATACTATATATACATATAACATATATAGTATATGTAATATATATAATATATACATATATATAATATGACAAAAAACTTTAGTTTTTTTTGACAGTTGTAGTGCTTGAACTCAGGATCTGGGCGCTGTTCCTAAGCTACTTTAGCTCACGGCTAGCACTCTCCCACTTTGAGCCACAGCTCCACTTCCAGTTTTCTGGTAGTTAAATGGAATTAAAAAGTCTCACAAAGAAAAAGCTGGAAGTGGCACTGTGGCTCAAGTGGTAGAGCGCTAGCCTTGAGCTGAAGAGCTGAGGGACAGTGCTCAGGCCCATAGTTCAGGCCCCATGACCGGGCCCAAAAGCAAACAAACAAACAAAAAGAGTCTCACAGACTTCCTTCCCAGACTAGCTCTGAATTGTGATCTTCAGATCTCAGCCTATTGAGTAGCTAGAATTGCAGGTGTGAGCCACCAGTGCCTGGCTGACAAGAAATTTTTTATATATTCCAATTACTACCCATTTAAAAACTATAAACTATAATTATTATCTATTCAGAACAAGTTAGATTACTAACAAACCAGATGAACAACTTGGTTCATTACCAAATTGGGTCAATTCAAATGTGTGACATAACCAAAGGTTCTGTATCATTAAATTCCTTAAGCAATATTAATTGATTTAAAGTTAAAAAAAAAATCAGCCAGGTACCCTCAGCCATGCTTATAATCCTAGCCACTCAGCTTCAGATTTGAGAATCAAGAGAATTTGAGAACCAAAGCCAGCCTGGGGAGACAAATCCAAGAGTTTCTTATCTCCAATTAATCAATAAAAAGACAGAACTGGAGATTCATGGCTGAAGAAACCAAGTAAGATTATTAGGCCAAGTTCAAGCCCCTGTACTGGCACAAAAAGAACCTAACACCTGGGTGACAGTAGCTCACGCCTGTAATCAGGAGGCTGAGATCTGAGGATCATGGTTCAAAGCCAGCCCAGGCAGGAAAGTCTGTGAGACTCTTATTTCCAATAACAACCAGAAAAACAGAAGTGACGGTATGACTCAAAGTGGTAGAGCACTAGCCTCGAGCAAACAACTCAGGAGCAGTGCCCAGGCCCTGAGTTCAAGCCCCATGATGGACCAAAAAAAGAAAAAGAAAAAAAAAAAAAACAGAAGTGGTAAAATTCTCAAAACTACTTGGAAAATTCTTAAATAACTATTAAGAATTGTTATTTAAGGGGCTGGGAAGGTGGCTCAATGGTAGAGTGCTTGCCTTGCATGCATGAGGCCCTGGGTTCGATTCCTCAGCACCACATAAGCAAAAAGAAAAAAGCCGAAGTGGTGCTGTGGCTCAAGTGTTAGAGCGCTAGCCTTGAGCTAAAGAGCTGAGGGACAGCGCCCAGGCCAAGTTCAGGCCCCACGACCAGACTCCTCCCCCCCCCAAAAAAAAGAATTGTTATTTAAGATGGACTTTTACCTTTGTTCTTCTGTTCCCAATCCATAGATGAGACTACAATTATACTAAGAAAAAAATGAATTCTTACTTTAGATAAGAGATTATTTAGTTCATGAGGATGAAGCTTCACCACTTCTCCAAGTTGTTGAGCAGCAGCTTTTCTTGTGACTGGAGTAGTGCCAGTATCCAGTAAGATAAAAAGACGATCAAGCCTATAATAACAAAAACAAAACCATTAATCTGAACTATTTCCTCATAAGTTTGAGTTAGTAAATAGGTTGAGTCCCTAGCAATAAAGACCTATGATAAGGCTGCAGGAGATGCCTAATCATTGTTCTCAAAAAAGAAACAGATAGGTCAGGGAACAAGAACATAAGAATAAGTAAAGGGAGAGTTTATTTTGGGAAATAATAGCTTGGTTGTTCAGGGGACACTTAAGGGTATAAGCTAGTGCCCTCTTGTGGAGAAAAAGCCAGAAGGAGAGCTGTGGTTCAAGTGGTAGAGCACTATTAACCTTGAGCACAAAATCTCAGGGACAGAGCCCAGGCCCTGAGTTCAAGCTCCAGGACTGGCATATGTAACAAAATAAAATAAGTACAGCAATGGGAGGGAGGGAATGAGAGGGAAAGAGTGAATAGCTAGCACTAAGAAAAAGGAAAGAAATGTACATACCACCTGATATCCAAGAAATAGCTGTATTGTCAACGCTTACAGAATTCACAAACTTTATAGACCATGATGACAATTTGTCTCATGAAGGTTAGAATGTGTTTGTGATTTTAACTAAGTATCACTATCTCACAATACTGTGAAATTTGTGAAATTTATGTAATCACATAATCACAATAAATTTATGTAATCACTTAATCACAGCTGAGGGCCTGGTACCTCAGCTCTTCAGCATAAGGCTAGCACTTTACCACTTGAGCCACAGCACCACTTCCGGCTTTTTCTGCTTATGTGGTGCTGAGAAATTGAACCAAGGGCCTCTTGCGTGCAAGGCAAGCACTCTACCACTGAGACACCTTCCCAGTCCCAATGATAACTTTTTAAAATCAATTTACATGGCCGGGCGCTGGTGGCTCACGCCTGTAATCCTAGCTATTCAGGAGGCTGAGATCTGAGGATTGCGGTTCAAAGCCAGGCAGGGCAGGAGAGACCATGAGACTCCTATCTTCAATAAACCACCAGAAAACCGGAAGTGGCGCTGTAGCTCAAGTGGTAGAGTGCTCGCCTTGAGCTGAAGAGCTGAGGGACAGCGCCCAGGCCTAGAGTTCAAGCCCCATGACTGACAAAAAAAAAACAAATAAAATCAATTTACATGGTGAATTTTGTTATATATTACCACAATGAAAAACAAAAACAGGGCTCAATGACATGTGCAAGGCCCTGGATTTGATCCTCAAAACTTAGAACAAAAACGGCTTCATACAAATACTGAGAAAAAGAAATAAACAATAACAATAACTAAAACAAAAAACAAAGCAACAAGAATTTACCAGGAAAAGAGCTGGGAAGGTGGCCCAGTGGAAGAATGCTTGCCTTGCATGCATGAGGCTCTGGGTTTGATTCCTCAGCACCACATAAGCAGAAAAAGCTGGAAATGACGCTATGGCTCAAGTGGTAAAGTGCTAGCCTTAAGCTGAAGAGCTGAGGGACAGCACCCAGGCCCAGAGTGCAAGCCCCCCCACCAACAAAGGAAAGAAAAAAAAAAAAAAAAACGAAGAAATTACCAGGTTGAAAAGTTTCTACAATGTCTTATTTTTCCTGGCATTTTACAATGTTTTAAAGAATGGAATATTTGATAAAATGTAATTTTCACTAATACTTCCTGCCAACCATTACTGGAATGACACCAATAGAAAGTGAGGAGCAGGCCTAGTACACCTGTACTGTCCTATATAGGTAATTAGCATTAACATTTTTCTGTCATTAGGAAGAATCCTCTGAACTTTCTTCATATCAAGAAACTTATATTCTTAAAAGAGGATCACAAAGGCACAATGTGCATCTGATCATACAAAATAATATTCATTGAAATGAACTCCAGAAAATGGAAAGGAAGTTTTTTCTTTTTGTGGTTGTTGTTGTTGGGAGCTTGAACTCTGGGCCTGGGTGCTGTTCTGAGCTCTTTTTTTTCCTGCTCAAGGCTAGCTCTCTACCACTTTGACCTTGTCTCAAAAAACCAAAGGGCTAGGGATATAGCTCAGTGATAAGTGTTTGACTAGCACTGGGAAGGCCCTGGGTTTGTTCCTTGGCACTACAACAGAGAGAAATCAAATCTAAACTTAGAGGCTCTCACTGAAAAACATGAAATATTCTACTATGCATTGATTACAATCAGATCATGAGTTATTAAAGCAAGCAGCAAAATCATTAATTATTTTTACTGTGAAGGCTAGGGGTTTGGCTTAATGATATGATGCTAGACTAGTACACATTGAGAGCCCTGAGTTGTAACTCCAGAATTGGGGGACACAGTGGATATAATATTAGCTGGATATAGTAGCACAGTCTCCAGTCTAACTCTCCTAACTGCGCTATTTCAGTTCTGCTCCAGTGGCACAGTCCTATGGTGTCACCTAAGGGAGCTGAAGGCAGGATCTCCTGAGATAAGGGGTTAGATGGATGAAAGTGACCGTAGCATTAAGACTCTGTTTCCAAAAAGGAAAAAGAGAAGAAAAAAAACTTAAGTTTTTCCTAGGAGCCAGGCACTCTGCTAGGAACAGAAAGATCAGACATATTTTTCCCTCACACCATTTATGTTAATCAAGCAAGGGAGAGATAAGTAGACAATTACTATGCATAAGTATTCCAACTGATAGTATATTGTTACAAGAAGCACAAGTGGACATAAAATCTGAGAAGGCTTCCTGAACAAAGTAACATAGGTTTAGATTTAAAACAAAACAAAGCAAAAAAAAAAAAACAAAAACAAAAAACCCAAAAAAGATTAGAATTAGGCAGACTTTGATAGACACTAGTGGCTCATGCTTATAATCCTAGCTACCCAGGAGGTAGAGATCTGAGGATCGTGGGTCAAAGCTAGCCCAAGTAGGAAAGCCAGTGACTCTTAATCAGCCAATTAACCACCAAAAAGTTCTGAGTTCAAGCCCCAGGACTGCCATGCGTGTGCATGTGCACATGCGCGTGTGCACGCATGCACACACACACATACAAGCAGACTTGAAGCATGGAAGGAAGTGTCTCTATCTCAAAGTGGAAAGAGAGGGAAGCAAAGGTGGGAAGAGAACACATGTGAAGGCAACGAGGAAGGAAAGAAAGAGCACAGAAAGTTTAAAGAACAAGTTGAGGCAAAAAGCAAATCCACAAAGGATCTGATAAGCTATTGGAGAATTTGGACATACCTTAAGTGGGGGAGCAGGGAGGGGGGTCGGGAATGTCAGCTATCTGGGACAAGTATGCTCTCCTCAGCCCATCTGCCTACACTGATAATTCTCACAGTCCACAAATGATGTACTATCCAAATGATGGCTGGCAGAAAAAAAAAGTTCAAAAGCAACAGAAAACTAACGTATTTTAAGCAGAAAAAATAACAGTTAAAATTTGAGTATTAGCATGGCTAATATGGCTGAAATGAAGGATAAATTGGGAGTGAGACACCAGGAGGAAAAAGCAGACGAACAAACTTTTTCTTTTGGTGTTGGTTCTAGGGCTTGAATTCAGGGCCTGGGCATTGTCCCTGAGCTTTTGAGTCCAAGGATACCACTCTACCTACCACTTGAGCCACAGCTCCACTTCGTTTGTTTGGTTTGGTTTTTGTTTTTTTAATGTGTGAATGAAGCCAGTCACTGGTGGCTCCTGCCACCAGTAATCCTAGCTGCCTGTAATCCTAGCTACTCAGGAGGCTGAGATCTGTGGATCATGGTTTAAAGCTTGTCCACAGGAAAGGCTGGAGACTCTTTTCTCCAATTACCCACCAGAAAACCAGGCGTGACTCAAATTGGTAGAGTGCTAGCCTTGAGCAAGAGAGCTCAAGGACAGTGCCTAGGACCTGAGTTTATACCCTATGACCTGGTGAGGAAAAAGTCTCATGGACTTTCCTGCCCACATTGGCTTCAAACCTTGATCCTCAGATCTTGGCCTCCTAGTAGCTAGTAATTCATTCCAGGAATGAGCCATTAATGCCTGGCTTCGAGGCTACTCCAAGGCCGATGCAGTTATCTTGGACTACAAATGATAGAAGCATGGAAGACTATCAAAATTGGTATAGAAAGAAAAAAGAGGGGCTAGGAATGTGGCCTAGTGCTTGCCTAGCATGTATGTAGCCCAGGGTTTGATTCCATAGTTCCACATAAACAGAAAAGGCCAGGAGTGGTACTGTGGCTCAAGTGATATAGTGCTAGCCTTGAGCTGTAAAAGCAGCTCAGGCATAGTGCCCAGGCCCTGAGTTCAAGTCCCTGGACTGGTAATGGCAAGAAGGGAGGGAAGGAAGGAGGGATTGGGGGGGGGGGGCAATGTGCTTAAAGAATAGATTGAAACAATGATTTTCTCCAATGCGAACTCATAAATTAAAAAATAACTGTCAGTATCCTCAAAATCTTGGGGGGAAAGTGAATTAAGAAAAAAAAATCGGGGCTGGGAAGGTGGCTCAGTGGTAGAGTGCTTGCCTTGCATGCCTGAGGCCCTGGGTTTGATTCCTCAGCACCACATAAGCAGAAAAAGCTGGAAGTGGTGCTGTGGCTCAAGTGTAGAGTGCTAGCCTTGAGCTGAAGAGCTGAGGGACAGCGCCCAGGCCCAGAGTTCAGGCCCCACGACCGGACTCAAAAAAAAAAAAAAAGAACTTGGTGAATTTTAATGAGTACAATCACCCAGGGACTGCCCCCTACTCATATTGGACCACCAAAATACACCTCTCAAAAGTTCTCAACCTATCATATCGGAGAAAAATATAAAATAAAACTTTCCTTCTGGAGCTACACAACGAAATGTCTCGTTGGTATTTCTCTTATTTCCTTAAAGATGTCCCACGGACGGACAAGATCTGAAAAATAATTTCAAGACCCGTGATAGAAAGATAGAGCAAACACAGTCACCTGTTTAAAATCTCAACAGGGAAGAGGGAAGGAACATTTTACTGCTAAACAGAAAAAGAGTTAAGCCAACTGCCTTTAGGAAGAACATAACCCTAAAAGTTGTAAATTAAACGTGAGCACCATCGCGATGGACTCGTGAGATAACCATGATCCCAATCTCCCCATCTTCCGACAGTTATTGTCAGGTTGTTGGACCACGAAATGGAGGTTGGGGAATCAAGACTGAGGATCCTGAATCGCCTAGCACTGAAAAGAGGGAAGAGAAACCAGAGACGAGACACACCGCCAAGAGAAAGAAAGGAACCGCCCTCGCGTGCCCAGGTGCCTATTTCGCAGGAAAACGACGTTCCCGAGCGCACCGGCACGGAGTAACCCCGTCCACCCCGGCCGAGGGGCGAACTCCAAACTCCGGGCAACAAGACGCCGGAATCCAGCCAGCGACAATGAGCTCGGCTCCTCTCCGGCCGCGGCGCGGGGAGGAGACCGTGCCTCGCCCTACCCCTCTCCTCCTCCGCTCCTCACGAGTCAGACCCACCTGGAGACCGCCATGGCCCGGCGCCGGCGGTTCGCAACTCCGCGCGAGCGACGACGCGCCGCGCCGCCGAGGCGCTAGTTTCCACAGAGCGCAGGGGAGCGGCGCAGGCCCAAGCCAGGCAGCTGAGGGGAACTGCCGGGGCGGCGCGGGGCGTGCTGGCCCGAACCCTCGGGCATCTGCTCAGCCGTCTACCCGAGCTCGTCCCCTCCGTGGTTCGGGGAGCCAAAGGGTCCGAGACCGAGGCGCCGGCGGCAGCACTCAGACCCGCACGACTTCAAACCGGGTGCCCCCAACCCCGCTCTTTGCTGACGCAGGCGTCGACACGCCGGGCTGAGCGTCAGCGCGCCGGAAGTGACGTCAGCGCGCCGCGCGCGGGACTGCGCCTAGCCAGCGAAGGAGAAGAGTTGAGGCGGTCGCGTGGGCCTGGCCACCCGGGTTCCGGGAAAAAGAGTTGTTTGTGCTGATGTGGAAAGGGGTTCATCTAACTGGTCTCTCCTCTTAGAACGAAGCAGACCAGTGAAATGGGGATCCCACCCGTTTTCTTCAGAAGGAAACAGAATTGGCCAGAGTTCAAGCCTTGACCTCGCATTCCTTTCCATTCTGTCCTGAGCCTCCTCTCCAGGCGGCTTCGAGACAAGTAAACAGGAGATTTAGGGCGCTGGTCCCGGTGCCAGTGCCGTGGGAGGGAGGGGAATCGAGACACATCGCCAGCGGCGCTCCGTGTCTTCTTTGGTTTTTCCAGTTCGGTGTAGATCTATCTGCCCATGGTTTTGCGAAAGCCCACAGCTGGGACTTGAATTTGGGGGCTGAACTCTGTCTCTCAGCTTTTTCCTCTCAGAGCTAGTGCTCTACCACTTGAACCACAGCTCCACCTCCAGCCTTTATTTTTTTTTTCTTTTCTTTTTTTGGTGGTTAATTGGACATAGAATCTCATGGGCTTTCCTGCCTGGGCAGGCTTCAAACTACAATAGATCTCTGCCTCCTAAGTAGCTAGAATTACAGGTGTGCATGCCATTAAACACTGTAAACTTTATGCTGATAGTCCATACCTACCCAGTCTCTTCAGGTAGGCCCATTTTATGGCCACTAACCTATTAATCTTCAGAAAACTTGGTGTGTCATGTTACTCCTCTGCTCATAAAACATGCCTATTGGCTTCTCATCACCTGAAAAGGTTTACATCTCCATCTTGAGTCTGGTTTTCATTTGTAAAAGGAGGTTGATGAGTAGCACTGAGAGGGCTATGACAAAATGAAGCTGTGTAGTTAGCTTACACTTGGGAAACTAGATATTTGAAGAAAACTTAAGTGCCTATATGTTGGCCACATAATTAGTAAAATAGAGCTATAAGGAGATTTTGGTTGCTGGAGTTGGGGAGGTAGGGTCTTCTTGTCTGTTTTAGTAGGGGTGCTGGAGATAGAACCTAAGTGAGCATCTTTGGTAAAGTGTTTTACCTGCTCTACCACATCCCAGCCTGTAAATTTTAATTTTCACTTTATAGGTGAGGAAACTAAGCTCTGAGTAATTTGCCTAAGATCCAAGCTAGTAATAATACTTACTGTTAATCCAACAATTATTTATTTGGACCTTGTGTGTCGGATACTGTTTATATTATTACACAAGATCTGATTAAGTTGATGTTCAAGTCTCTTCACATTTTCACACTGGTTTCATCTGCTTCGTTCATTTATCTCCCACCATTACAACTATGTCTTGCTATTTTTTTTTTTGCTGACCTTATAGAGTATTTATTTAACCAAAATTAACACTCTATTACATGAGTGATAAGGGCTTCAAATTTGACCAAACAGTACAGCCTATGTTATTGCCCTACAATCTCTACACTGGGATGCGAAGCAGGAGGAATACAAGTTCAGCATCAGTCTGGGCTATTGTACACTATCTCAAAAAAAAAAAGTTAAAGAAGGTGCACACTTGTAATCCTAACTACTCAGGAGGCTGAGATGTGAGGGTTGCAACTCAAAGCCAGTGGATGCAGAAAAGTCCATGACTCTTATCTTCAAATAATAACCAAAATGCAAGATGTGGAGCTGTGGCTCAAGTGGTAGAGTGTTAGCTTTGAGCAAAAAAGCTCAGCACCAAAGCCGGGTGCTGGTGGCTCACGCCTGTAATCCTAGCTACTCAGGAGGCTGAGATCTGAGGATCGCGGTTCAAAGCCAGCCCAGGCAGGAGAGACTGTGAGACT